AGTTAAGGCCATTTCAATTGTTGGTCTTGATATGCATTTAGATTAACAACCGAAGTCCTTCTTCTTTACACATTCTGCACTCAAAATAGCTCACCCCTCACAGGATTTCCTTCCAAATTGTATGAATGGGGCGGGGCAGAAAGTATCGTTTGAGCAGAATATGTAAAAAAGGAGGGACTTCGAATGTTAATTTAAACGCGGTACCAGACATGTTTTGTAGTGTCAGATAGGGTAAACTACCCCATTTCCGGCTTATTAAGCACAACCCGCACTTAGTCTTTCTTAATCTAGCGCAGTTTAGCACCAAACGGAATGTTATTGTCACTGATGGCTTCCAAATTTTACCTTTCTGTACGTACCGTAAGATTTGATATATAGAAACACATTGTTTAGATATTGTTAAAAGTCTAACACTGCTTCTTGATGCCAAACTCGGCCTACGGATTCTAAACTCGGCCTTACGCATTGAAACGCCAATGAATTCACTTCGGCCTATCGGATAAAGAAAAAGATTGATTCGGTCGGAGAACTTCTTTTGTTTGTGGGAATTATGGGTGCAAACCTTCATATCACGCGTTCTCATTTACTTTATTCGGTAGCTTATTAACTAAATTATGGTACCAAACGCCTAATTGACTTGTTAACTCTGAAATTATGGATTTATTTGAAGTTTTCTGCTCGATAGGCCCAAAATCGGCGATTAGACCGAAGTAGTTCTCTACCCTACTATTTTTTGTAATCTATGAAAGGAAATCACCAATTGGGTGTCATAAAAAACATGGCAATTGAGAGATTGAGCTCGTGAGAGCTAATTTTCTCACAAATTTGAATTTTTGTTTTGCTTTCTGGGGATTGGTAGTAAAGCAGGTAAAACTGTATGAAGAAAATGTATTTCCGGTAAACAGTATTTTCTAATACTATTTAATTTACTAATTTACTTAACTTGACTAATTAATTTAACTTGTCATTCACTTTTTTACCTGAATATGCACCTAAAGCGAATTATTCCCGCTTCTTTCAAATTCTATATGTGAATTTTTATCACTTCCTAACAGCGGAACAGCGCCGTCTTTGGAAAATGGCCGGACGATATGATTAATCTCACCAATACAATCAGGCCTGTCTACAATTCCACACCTTCTATAGACAGGTTGATAGCTTGATAGCTAGCTGGTTGCGGGAAATGATGACCTTGACAAATGTCCAAATAATACTCTTTAACAAATTTGTGGTGGTCCTAAAAAGGTAAACGGTCCTTTCGTGACGGTCGTGATGGTTGAGTAATGCTGAGCTATTAGGGTGTTCAACACGGATGAAGCTGGCGATCTGTTAATTGTTTGGAGCAAGGTTGACGCGCTAGGCATTGATGACCCACAGCTACTCACGAGGAAACTGATTTCGATCGCGGTGCGGCTTCTTCTTCCTTCTATGGATACTCGCTACTTTCAGGATGCCTTTCGTGGTGTACTGGATAACGATGTTCAACGCCACACGCCGAAAGCACTGCTGCTACTGATGCTGCTGCTACGGACACCGTCGACCGGACACCACCACACACGGTGAGACAGGATCGAATTCGATTTTTAAATCTGTGTTAGGGAATGCGCTGTTTGCAGGTAATCGGTGATAATTTTCATCACCATTGCAACAGTTGGACATTGTGTATTTTTTAATAGTGACCTATTGAAAATTAATAAAGTGTTCAATTTAGCATATTGGTAGAAAAATTCCCAATTCTTTGGCTTGTTTAGAATTAAAATTCATCTGCTATTGACAGAGTTATATGTGGTAAAAACCTGACCTATTTTCGTCCTGTTGCCGAAAGACGTAATCCTACGTCAAAACGTGAGTCCTTATAGAAGCAGTTCCAGCCCAGGATGAGGAAAAAACAGACAGTAGATCGAGTGAAATTATGAAATAGGTGGCCCACCAATTAAATACAAGTGGTGAGCCAATTTAAAATCGTTAGTTTCGTATTGATTGTTGGTGTTACTTGCATATTTTTTCATTCTCATTCCTCATTGTGGTGGTCACGCCGTGATCCACCTTTAGCCGCTGACTTGGTCCTGCTTGCTGCAGGACCTAGTGCCACGCCGTCCGAAGCGGTAATGAGCAGAGGCAGGAGAGCAGCGCTGATTTATATCTTTTCAGGTTCAAGCAGAATGATGTGCAACCAAGTGGTATTCGTTTATGATGACTGGGTTTGGGAAAAACGTTTAGTTCATGAAAACAGTGACCAAAATTATCATTTGCCCATTTTTCAAAAGTTTTTTGATTAAAAATAGGAAAATTATTTATTTCAGAAGATTTGTTTGTCCTATCGATTGGCGTATTTGGATTTTAATTTCATCTATAAATGACAAAGTAACAAGCGTTCAAAACTTAACACTATTTCACCACATATTTTTTTGATTTGTACCCCAGTATAGTCGACAAACACGTAGTTCTACGTCAAAAAGAAGAAGAAATGGAAACTTTTTCAGGAAAAAAAAACAAAAAGGTGTCAGAAAAGTTAATCAACACTGTATGGATATTAATCAGGTTGCGGAGAACGGAAGATAACCGTTTGTTAAGGCCGGCGCACAATGGATAAGTTTTCAGGTTTTTTGACAGTTAGCCAATGCATTATCTGTCTAAAAACCCGGAAACATATGCATTGTGCGGCAGCCTTTACTTAACTCTCCACACAAGCGCACGGAGTGTGGCTGATGACGATGATCTACTGATGTGAGGATGATGGTGATGATCGTTCTATTGTTGCCCTCGAATGTTTGCAACAAAGAACCGGCTGGCTCGCCGACTGGTGAACTCGATGACTTTGATGTTACAGTGGCGTGATGCGATGAAATTTGTTGGCTAAAGATGAACAGCTCATCTGCCGGAAATTACTGCTTCCTTTCTCGAACGATTGAGCGACAATTGCAACTCCGCGATGCTCACTACACTGATGTATAGTATAACACCACCCAGTATGAAAGCGGATTGAAAAAAAAACCTCAATAAGGAAAAAAAACTAGTACCGAAAACAGAGTGCAAGCAACACTAGACCGAAACAGTCGAACGTTCGATGCGGAATGAGTAAATATAGATATCTGTATCAAAATTTTGAGAAAAATCTGTATCATTACAGATAAATCTGTATATGTGACATCACTAAGACGACAACGAAAGCACCCACATTGACCGGAGGAACGACTTCCCGCAATAGGCAGCATGACTAGGCCGCCGTCATCCGGTCGGTATCGACTTGCACATTTGAAAAACAACCTATTCTACTTTTCACCAATTCAAAAACGGAAAGAGTTAAGAATTAAATGATCAACATATTTGTTCAGTCCACTAGCGGTCTTAGGTCAAGCCTCCGTTCGTGCCTCTAGGCAAAGACCCTTATACTTTTTTAAAGATATTGCAGCACCGTACTTCCTTAGGAAATGTTGTTAGGCACTTCCTGGATTATACTTTTACAAGATAAGTTGCAAAATGGTGGTCCCTTGAAATTAAAATGCAAAAAATAGGTTCTCCTAATAAAAATTTGCTTAACGACGTGTTTGGGGTATCATCCAAACCATTTGTGGAATAGTTCAATCATTTGGGTTATCGTTCGTTTATGGTTTTTTTTATTAGGGTCTCCTATACTATTTTCAAACACAATGCGGAAAGCTGAGTCACATGCACAACCGATTGTCCCCAAATTATGCACAGTTCACAGAAAAAAAAGTTATTGAATATTACATCCAAACTGCTGCAACCAGGTCAATCCATCGGTTGTGTAATATAACGTTGTACGATGTACATCGATTTTGCGAACAAAATTACATCTATTGATGTAATATATGTATCTGCTTTTTGCTATAACATCATTATTTCATACATCAGCTTGAATTACATTTTTTTTTTTGCTGTGTTGTTTGGGACACCAAACAAAAAACATGGTTCTGAAAATATGATCATGATTACCCACTAGAGTGATGCAAAATTTGAAATTTTCGCTCACAATACTTAAACGATTCCAAATCTGATCCTGACTAACCTCACAAAATTTGAACCCATTTGGTGAGAAACTGAGATGGCACAAACCATTTGAAGTTTGTATGGGAATTACTATGGTAAAACCAAGATGTTTGTTCATGTCTATCTAATAATTCACCATATCGGTCTGCTTCAAAAGCTTTCAACTGTACTTGTAGGAAGTTTTCCCAGCTACAACTTTGCTCAAGACCACTTTTTGATTAAATGCAAGGATCGAAAGTTATCAATGGTGATGTCTTATGATCATGCTCAATCAATCAGCGTTGAATAGGACACAAAAATCATGGCTACTATGTCACACTGCAAAATACAGTGTTGCCTACAGAGCAGCTGCTTGATCATGTCATAAGTTTACCAATCTCTTAAATAATTAATAACTTTTTCCTGTCTCGTTTTACATAGAAATGATCTTGAGCAAAGTTGTAGCTGAGAAAATTTTCTATAAGAATGGCTATCGAACTGTTTCGCAGCTCAATATGGCAAAAGACTAGAAGGCAATGAACAAAAAATTGAGATTTCCCATAGTATTTACATGTAAACTTTAAATGGTTTGTGCGAAGTCTGTTTCTAACCAAATGAGTTGTAACTCTTGGAGGCTAATCAGGACCCGATTTGAAACCATTTAAGCACTGTGGAGCGAAAAAGTCACATTTTGCATCAGTCTATTACCCACCCTACTGTGTGTGCATGGTTATTTCTCGTTAAAGTAAAACATACGGTTTTTTTCTTGCCAGTTTTCGTATTTCAGCCGAAGCCCAAATAAGCTTTTATTTTAAACACGAAAATAAATAATGACTTATTTTGTAGAGCAAAACTGTATCCGTCCACTTTTTGTTTAATTTACAGCAATCTCAAATTTTGCTTCGCTGTTTGACAGTATACCTTTAACAAGTTGGTTCTTTTTGCTATAGTTGATTTGTAATAATATAGATGTTTAAATATAATAGCTTCCAATAGAGAAAAATGCACGCTTTCGCAGATAAGCTTTTGTATTTAGTAAGTACGAATAGGTATAATAGGTATGTCATAGTTGTCATAAATGCATTCGACGAGATCAAATCTGCAGAGATGGAGAAAATATTACGCGGATTAAACCCTAGTATGTAGAGCGTTTTAAAAATACCTCAGTGCTCTTTGGTGAAGTGAACAAACTAAAACAGATAGGCTTAATTCCTTTGGGTGAAGTGCTCTAAATTGATTTAAAATAAATAGGTCAAGTTGTAGTGCGCTTCGGTCACATCCCTGAGAGCTGTACTATGTCACAATTCACCAAAGTCCAGTTGAAAATCCTCCTGGAGGAACGCGAGGACGCCCTCCGGTTTGGGACTCTTGCGAAGTCGATTCGTTGTTGGCACCTTGGGCCAGTTTTGGCTGAGCAGCTGCTTTTACATTTTCTACCGGTGCTTGGCCCTGATCATAGGCTTGGATATGCTCTACTTTTATGTTGGGATCGGTTGTTCCCATGACACCGTTCATGTTGGAAGAATTTTGCTGGTTGTACTTCGCCCGCGGGGGGTTCGCTTTAACATCCGGTGTTCCAAATATGTCCGAATGACCTCCACCTGGCGGCTTCAGAACACGGCTCGATGTCTTACTGGCACTGTTAAGGCCAATATTGAACTCAGTTGAACTCATTTTCAGTAATGGAAGCCTAACAATGATAGTGAAAAAATAAGTAGTTATTCGTGCTGTTAGTGAATTTAATTAGCAATATTTATTACCTCAAACTTCACACAAATCGAAAAATTTGATAAAATGTGAACAGATTATAGGGGCAAATGACAAAAGTTATTAAAAGACCGCACCTATTTAATAATCCACTGTAAATTAAAAAGAATCACACGACCAGTGAAATTGACCACACCACAATTAGGTTTTGCACCGTCGGGGTTAACCTCAATCTGATGACAGTTTAGTGGTACTGTTTACGTGGACTTAGCCGATTTTTTCTTGGGTGGATTTTCTCGATAATTTTTCAGACTGCAGTGAGATGTAAACCACATTTCTGCAATGTTCACGAGCAACATCCTTGCAATGCGCTGTTCCTCGACAATTTTCAAGTTAAAATTAGGAAATTTTAGAATTTTTTTTTTCGAAAAAACGACTAAGTGCTTGTAAACAGTACCACTGAACTGTCAAAAAGGTTCAGCCTATTAACACTGAGTTCATTTGTGACGTCACGCTGCAGAACCTAATGGAGCGTATATTATGACAATGAGTGTATTACTGAGGTGAAGCAATCGGTTAAGCTGTGTGGGTGATACTAAAGAGCCTGAATTTACTGTGAGAGAAGCAACCGATATCACAACTACATACGCATAAAGCACTCTAATTAAGCTGTAAACCATTTGCCGAATAAAATTTAGGCTCTGAATTGGATTATTTTAACTTTTGGTTAAAATTTGACAGATGGAAGTTATTGATTGACCCTGCTATCCGAGCGTGGTTACTTCTGACAGCCCGAATAGAAAAATACCATAAGCTGAAAGATCACTATTATTAATTATCCATTCCTGTTATAATTACCATAAGATAAACAATCCGTGAATAATGGGATGGTATGGCCAAAAAAGATTTCAACCATATATAACAATAAACGGAGCATTCTAGATATGGTAATGATTCCCTGAATATGAAATATATAGTATTATGTAGTTTTTCTCAAGATGTATGTACCATATCAGTGCTAACATTTGAAAACGGCGCAAAAGCCATTTGTAAACAAATGGTTTGTGGGCCCTTTACTCGCTACTCGAAGAACGCCCACGCAAACCAACAGCATCGTCAGGAAGGGGAAAATTTCCCCTACCCGATGTTGCTGTTGTGTCGCGTGGGTGTACTTCAAGTAGTGAGTAAAGGGCCCACAAACCATTTGTTTACAAATGGCTTTTGTGCCGTTTTCAAATGTTAGCACTGATATGATATGATAAAAGAAAGATATTGCTTATTGTGATGATTAACGGAATAATCTTCAAATGGTTTGTAGAAGTGTTGTATTTTTTTTATTTTTAGTTTATTGACACAAAATTTTTAATAAATGAAATATTTTTTATTATTTTAATATGTATGTGTACGTTTACGATATAATCAGTCTACGTGAAGAGTATAATGTAATTTAATTAGGTAGTACTTGCTTTCTAACTGTACTTTGATCCACTTTTGAACACTTTTGTTAACTTTTATCATAAATGTTTGATCATCGATTGATGAAATCTCTAAGCAATCATTAAGTGTCCTGGTTACAATTATTGGTTTGAATAAGAAATATGTTCCATCTGAATCTTTCAAAATTTGTTGAATTTGTCCAATTATGGAATCGTTGTCCATAACAGAAAAATAACAGTCATTATGTGCTTTCTTCTTATGCTTAACATTAACGGTAATATTATAGACTGAATTAACCACTTCATTCGAGCAGATAAAATGACGTTTACTACCACTCGAACTTTGAAATGAAACATTATTTTAAGATTTTTTCTTTTAGAACCTCGAGAAAAGTAGCCAAAATTTGTGCGTTTCACAAAAAAATAGAAATTAGTTGGTCCAGTTTTGTAAAATCGCTGGTAGAAAGTCACGCAAAAACTGCTTGACAAAGTGGTCAATTAAACATGAAACGGTTAAAATGGACTTTTCGTAAAATTTCAAATTCATAATTGTCATTGTATTTATTGATGATAGTATAATCTAAAGTATAAAGCCTGTTATTAACTGTCTGGTCCATGGATTTTGAAGAATTAACTTTGCGACAAAATTCTGAAGCTTTTGGTTGCATAAAGCTTGTACTGACGTTGTGTACAACCTGAGACAAAGCATATCTGTTAACTATTTGTATTAATGGTTCATTTGGACGTTTTATGTACTTCTTCAATACCCCATTGATGTCTTCATATGTAAACAAAGCAAACGCCCATAAAAGACCGTAGTCTCTTGAGCAATCTACGAGATGTACCAGTAGATGAACATTATAAGTCATTTCTTGGATACCATACAGTCTCTCAAAATCACAAACGAACTATTGAAGATCTGTTTCACATTGAATATAGGTTGTTGGTCGAATTTCGGTATTTAACAGTTCTATCACAGTGGATACTAGTAGCACAAACGAAGTGACAGACGACTTACTGGCGAAGAAATCCATTTAAATAATGTGGTTCACTGTAATAGAATTTTCTTGGAAGCTTGTGCCATCAACCACCAGATGGGTTAGTTTTTTTTGTTTTGATTTGAACAAAGTTGATTTTGTGTACAATGATTCTTTGACAGTGTGCAAAGAGTGCGTATCATTTTGTCATTTTTTTATGCATTTCAGTTTTGAGTAGAGTGAAAGAGATAGAACCAAAATATTCTAGTAGGGAAGCAAGTCCCTATCTTCAATATTTTTTGAGATATTCAAGGTTTTGATCCAAAATTAGCACTATTTCCAAGGCCAATAGCTCGAAGTTGGGCAAAATTGGGCAAACCAGGTTGATTACATTTGAAAGTATACATAAAATGCAGCCCAATGCATACCAAATCATAAGTCTTCTTTAGTATTCTCTGCCGATCTGCTTATTACCAAACTATAGGGTCACGACTTCCCGTCAATTGTGTTACTGTTGTTCTTTTTTTATGAACATTAAAAACAACATTACTACCTCAAATGATTACTACCTATATCTTAGTATAGTTATATTTCATCAACCATTTCATACAACATCAAAGAAAAAAATTATTCATCGCTACCCATTTCGTCGTCACGTTCAGAATTGTCGCTTACTTCTGTTTCACCATCGGTTCATGCATCGGTAGATGGAACTAGAAGAGTTTGAGCATCTTCGGACAAAAGCAGTTTTGCTTGTTTTGGAAGGGGTCTTATTGTAGAAATTAACGGGTCAGATGATTCAAGCAGACGGTTCAGAAGGTCAACGTTTGTTACTGTTCGGGAGATTTTTCGTGTATGGCCCATGCGAAAGCGCCTGATGTCGTTATTCCTTGACTCTTGGGCCTCCTCGGATAACTGCCCAATTGGCACAAGAAAAGATTGTATGATCGTCGAGCCATGGATAAGTATTTTATGCACCGTTACAGGCAAATAAAACCACGGGTATTCTTCCACGAGCATCAGTGCCGTTTGCAGACAGTATTCATCAAATTTAGTGCTTTCGATTTGGCATCCGGATGCCAATGCCTGCAATATTGACTTGCAACGATATAGCAGTATTGGATTCAGTCCCGTTATTTCCGCAGATTTCTCCCATTCTCGAAAAAAACGCCGAGCGGTATTACCGTCATTTGATGTTCCAGAACCTCCAGACCTCGGCTTATCAATATGTAAACCCATTTCCACGCGGAACTTCTGTTGAATAAGTTTTTTTCGTTCTCTCATTGTATCACCGTCCGGTCCTTTGGCCTGCCACTTTTTAATGTCCATGCGATAAGCCAGGTGTATAAAATACTCAAAAAACGCATGAAGCGTGGACAGCCCGAACTGAAATACTTCTTCGTTTTCCCTACGCTCCTTTACCTGAGCTATATTATTCATCTGCGATGGAACAGCACCGCAAATGTAGCATCTCTGTGATGACTTCGTCAATGTAACTGCATTACATACCTTCCCGTCCACCATTGTCATCAGCATTTCATATCTATAGTGCAAAAAATTCTAACAGAACAAGATCTTAATACTAAATATAAAATCATACCTTATTACGATTGTTCGTCCATTACGTGAGATTGTTGTTGGATTCAGTTCTGAAATTTGCTGTTCCACGTAAGCTTTTTCCAGTAACGAAATCTCTGCCGTTTCAGCAACGAATTGTATACGGAGAGGCCGGCAATATCTAGTTGAAGAGGGTCGTGGGTTTTGAAATAAACATTTTCCTCTGGTATCTGCCTTAATAGGCACGATGGATGTAATGAAGACGTGTGAATCAGAAAAGGACCCATCATCACCTATAACAGTAGTGGTATTTACTCAAAAATAGAGGCTTATCATAAAGTTCTGGCATAAGTAGAAAGGGGATACACCAGAATAGATCAAAATATTGGTCGTGGTGGTATTATCATAGAGGTAACTCTAAGACTAGAAAGTCCCGAAATAACGTGCACAACTTTTTGGCTCAGCTCTGGTACTCTCTTCGGTCCCAAGCTAATCGATTCACCCCTCGAAACATAGGAAAAACCGATAACCCCTCATTTTATCTGTCAAACTTTCATAGCGAATCAAAACAAATACTGTGTAGTAGTAGAATTTCGACTAGAATGGGGTACGTTAATCGTTTGCTTGGGACCAATAGGCTAGTCAAGTAATGAGCCAATTTAAAATCGTGAGTTTCGTATTGATTGTTGGTATTATGCCTCCAACACAGAAAAAAACCTCACCTGTAAATTTTTGCTTGAATTCATTATGCGATGAGCTGCCGTCGAATCCCCACTTGATTGTAAACACAACGTTGAGAATATAAGTGGAAAGAGGGATTGTGATACGTAAGAGAATAGAGTAAACACGTATGGTACGGTCGAGTATACAGTAGAGACTGATGTATTTGTCAAAATATACACGGTAATGTAAACTACTCACTTTTACTCTTGAGACTTACCCAGTGAATGGTTTGCTCTTCACACCCCTCCTCAAACAAATCACCCTTCGACTCCCATGAAGACTCGATGTTTGGTAAATGGCATCGGCGAGAGACCCTTGGTGAGAATGTCTGCCGGTTGTTCAGCTGTTGGGATGTAGCACAAATTTACCTTACCCTCTTGGACACACTCCTTGATGAAATAAAGCTTAACTTCCGTATGCTTCAACTTCTTGGATGAGCCATCCGACTCGGCAATGGCAATCGTAGACTGATTGTCTTCAAAGATGTCCGCAGGTTCACGT